TGGGTTACTTGAACGACTGCCTGTTTTCTATAACTGCTGACTGGTTAGTTCAAACCTGCAGTGGTGTATTCCAAGTTTCTTTGAAGTCATCTCTCTGGATCTCAGAAATATGCCTTTTCAATAGCAGCAACTGCACTCTGGAAGAGGTCCCCCCCCAAGATTTGGATGACCCCAATTCTCCTGTTTAGAAGAGTCATGAAGACCTGGCTCTTCACCCAGGCAGGGCGAGACCTTCTCACCATCACACTAGCCATCTTTCTTGCATTTTATTGATTTTATTGCAGTTTCCTTGATTGTTATTGATAGTAGGGTAGTATACAAGCTTAATAAATTATTATTATTCCCAAGACTGGGAACTAATGATCATAGTCCATTAAGTCTCAACTAAAGGGGAATATGCACTTAGCCTCTCGTTTATTTCATTTTTCATGCTCTGTGCTTGAACGGTTCTTTTGTTAATAGTTATGCTGCATATCAACAACCCTTTTGTGATTAAAATTAATGCTGTTCCCCTCCCACAGGTGTGTGTTGAAGATGGACCATCATTGCCGTATCCTTTTGCAGGTCTGCAATAGGACCAAGGATAATGAATCGGGTTCAGGTGGACTGAAGAAATCTAAGTGATTCTGTTCCCAGAAACAGAATGGGATCTCTTGAAAATGTGGCCAAAGCAAGTGATTGGGAAAAAAATTGGTGCCTTCTCATTTTAACACAAGTGGTTCACGTTGAAGGTCCAAAATGCTGTGGGAATTAGGCATGAGTAGCTTTTGTAGGCTGGGCTATCTTCTGTTGTAATGGGAAAAGGTTGGCTTTCTCCATGGAGTTAAAGATCTTTAACCTGAAGAGACAGCATGGCTTAACAACTGTGTGGGACACTACAATCATCGCTATTTCTTCTCCTTCATGCTTTTCATGACCATGGGCTGCATCTACAGCAGTGTCAGCGGCTGGGACATGTTCTGGGAAGCTTATGCTGCCATTGAGGTGAGCACAGGAGGCAGTCTGTTTTCTTTAGGGGAAAAGGCCTTGAAACGTGCAGAGGTGCTGCCCTATGCAGCAGGGGTGCATATAGGCTAGTGATGGCGAACCTTTTAGAGACCGAGTGCCCAAACCGCAACCCAAAACCCACTTATTTATCGCAAAGTGCCAGGGCCGCATCAGCATTGTGGTGCCCTCGGTGGGCATGGCCCACTGGGTGGGCATGGCTGCGGTTGTCACGGCAGACTGGGTGGGTGTGGCTGAGGTGGGCATGGCCACCTCGATGTTGCTCATGGGGGGACGCCTGTGGGGGCCAGGCAGGGTTGGGGGAGATCCAGGGGGTCTCTGGCAGGTGGGGCGGTGGGCAGGCCTAGAATAGATGGGGAGGCACACAATCCTAGCTGGGACTGGGGGGCCATGGTACCGATGGGATCCGGCTTTCCCTGCTCGGGGTGGCTTTTGGCTTGCGGGGTGTGGGCGTGCTCTACCACCTCTACTCGAGCTTGCTAGCTGGTCGCTTCACCTCCTTTGTGCTGGGTGGGGCTGCCGCTCTGGGCAGCAGCGGCGGCCTAATGGACCTGTGCAAGCTGCTGACAGTGGTGGCGTGCATGCCCACAGAGAGGGCTCTGAGTACCGCCTCTGGCACGCATGCCATAGGCTCGCCACCACTGATATAGGCCAAGAAGAATTAAGGGTAACTGGTGGCCTTTTTTCCATCCGATAGAAAATGAAACTACTTGACAAGGAGAAACTGCACGTGACAGCCAATCAGGTGGGGTATCTGCTCATCAGCTGTTCAAGTCAAGGACAGGACAGGGCATATAGTTTACCATTTTAGTTCCATTCTGAGTCTACAGAAGTGATTGTCACAAAAATTCACTGTTAATTTCCTGGGCAGACACACTCCTTCCATTCTTGCTCACAAGAATGGAGCACCATTCAACTGGCATTTTGTCTCTATACATGGAGGGAATATTTCCAGAACCAGATGTTTTATCTGCTTTTGAAAGACAAGTGCTAATGGGGAGTAAGGAAAATGTGTCCTGGGTCCCAGTGCTCTGCCCATCTCTCTCCCTAAAAATGTATCAGGCTTGCTTGTTGTGCTTTCCATCCCAATTTTTTGTCCTAGAAAGCCCTCTGTTTGCTCTTTCCTGCATTCTTACTTCCAATTGTGGCAACATCTGCTCTTACTTGCAGACTTACTCTCAGACACCACCACCCACCTTTTCCTTCCGCCAGCGAGCTTTCCACAAGAGCATAGTGTACGCCTGGGTCCTCTGCAGGTAATTGATCTACGGTAGTTCTTTGGTGGAAAATGCTGGGAGGGGAAAAATCTACTTCAGGAAACTTTCAGAATACTGCCAAGTCAATTTTGGAGTGTCCCAGTTTGCATGATGCTCCACCATTCATTATCTTTACAAGTCTTCCTCTTAGCAGAGTTTGACATCCTTGTTTTTTAAACTGCTCTCTCAGTTCAGTAGCCTTGGCGCTGGGTGCCCTCATGCTCTGGCACTCAGCCCTCATCACCCGTGGTGAGACCAGCATCGAAAGACACATCAATCGCAAAGAAAAAAAGAGGCTACAAAAAAAGGGCAAGGTAAGGGCAGAGGCTGAATCGCCAAATGGATGGGAGAAAGAAAAAGGGGGACAGGCCCACTCAACTGCTGACTGAAAGTTCTTTCTAGAATGCCTTTTAAACCTACAAATCTTTTAGATTTGCCTGTTTCACTTTTCTCTCTTCTAGGAACACACAGCATTTTTTACACTGCAGTTCATTGTAGCTTTAAATTTTATGCTACTTTATTTGGGTAATTTTAATGTTTAGAATTCTATATACATATTATCACCATATAGTAAAGGGTTTAACTGATTTTTTCCCTCAGTTGTTTCTATAGTTTTTGATGGTCTCTCTTATAGGATCTATGCATCACAGATAAACTATAGGCCTTTCTTTACTAGCAACTTAGAATTCATCAAGTAAAATTCAGATCAAGATACAAGGAATTTGGAAGGCAAAAAGCTGTTTCAAGAGCATTTTCTTTTACTATGGTTGACACTTTCAGCACAAAAATTCAATGTCAATTACCATGAGCTTTCTTTATTGTATATTTTAAAGCTGCTTTGTATGCAGTTTTGTTATTGTTAAGTATCTGAAGTCCTTGCCAATCATACTGAAATACACACACCTTTTCTCTTCTATAGAGGAAGGAAGAATACTTGAGTTAAAATCAAAATAATTGAACAGTATTTCATTCTCCTTTTTTCTCTTGGCTCTAGATATTTCGAAATCCATACAGCTTTGGTCCACTGGGCAACTGGAAGGTTTTCCTGGGTATCGAAAGACAGAGGTAACAAATGTGCATGTACTACATATATTAGAATAGGATGGATGTTCCAATTGAGGGAACAAATTATCATAACTGGAATTACTTAGACTCATAACTATATAGTCATTGTCTAAGTACCTGGCAATTAGAAAATGCTAATGGAAGCAATATTAAAACTGACTTGCATGTCTTCCTGTACTACAGGTAGTTCTTGATTTACAACCACAATTGGGCCCAAAATTTTGGTTAAAAGTCAAGGCACCAAATTACCAGACTTGATTTTATGACTGTTTCTATGATGATCAAGCAAGTTACCATATTCTTTAAACAAATCACATGGTCAAGTGTGAACCCATTTTATCAACTGGGTATTTTTTGACGGAAAATGGCAAAAAAGTTGCAGATGCTATCACATGATATGGGATGCTGCAACCAATGTGAGCTGGTTGCCAAGCAACCAAAATATGATCATGTGACCACAAGGGTAGTATGGCAATCATAACTTCAAGAATGGGTCATAAGTAACTTTTGAGTCTGTTATAACTTCAAGTGGTCATTAAACGACCAGTCATAAATTGAGGACTACTTGTACATATTTCTTACTGAAGCCCTGCTCTTTTTCCCAGACACTGGATCACTCGAGTTGTACTACCTTCCACACATCCCCCTTATGGATCTGGCTTGAATTGGGAAACTCCTCCCTGCGTTACTCAACAGAAGACGCCTCTTTTGGCAATTTGAGTTGGATGAAGAACAAAGTGTACAAGCCGGTGGAAGACTTGAAACCACAGGCTTCTTTCATTGGGAAGCATAACAGAAGACATGGTCCCTAAATTGGCAGGCTAATATCACACTGGCATATCTGCAATGAACTGCTCATCCCACAGGAGACCGGAATACCTCCAGTTGCAGTCAGGGATCTATTGCCTGTATCTGTTTTGTTTTGCACATAGTCCAATGGGGATGGAGCAAAGTATGGTCAGTTTTGAGAAGGGGCAAGTAGTTCTTTCCCTAACTCAAGGAAGTTAACTGGCATATTAGGTCTTGTTGCTCTTCCTGTAAGGACTGAGATTTTTTTTTACCATAAAAATAAATATATATAAACAACCATCTCCTCATTAGTGGGAAAACAGGCAGTGAAAAGATTTTAATACAAACTGTTGATTCATAACTAACAAGACTAGACTAATTTTTTTTAAAAAAAATAGTAATTCTTTACTTTTAATGCTGACTTCTGATTCAATAGTTATTTCAAGCAGCAAGCAGAATTGATACTAAGCAACATGTTCATTACCAATCTCTATCCAGGCTATATTCAACAAGTTGTTTTTCCAGTCAGTGGGATAAATTATTGTTTCTACATTGATTGGCAATAGTTCTTGCCAATTCAGCTGCAGCTCTAGAACATGTATGTTTCTATAACACACTTAACAAGGTTATTTAAAGAGACAGGAGTCTAGAGTTATCCTTTTCCCAATAGGCAGAAATCTGTATCAGATCTGACCTAGTTAAACCTTCACTAATTGTACACTAATAATCAGAACATGGCACTATTGGCTAGTATCCCAACTCTTTTTATAGCAAAAATTACACATCCCAGTTAGCCAGAATGGCCTTGCATTTCTCCAACTATTTATATAAAAAAGCACTAGATAAGCAGTTAATTCAGAGTATTGAAACCAAATAGTCAAGCATTTAAGCCTGGAGCCCCACAATTTATTAATTGATCTATGTTCAATGAACCAAACATCTAAACATTATTTTAAGTAAAAAAAAAACCAGTTGAAATGGTGTGGTCTTTTAAACAGAACTTTTCAGCAGTCCTTCCCAGCTTTATATTCCAATATCTTTTACTCTTGTAAAGTACAGCTTTTTCCTAATACTCACAGTAGTATTCACTATCGTGATCACTGTGCAGTGATCTATTCTTATCCATGTTCTGTTGCAGTTCTGCTATATTCATTGATGAGATGTCCTTCAACAGTACTAAATCAAGAAAACCTGTTTCTTAACAGTGTCTTTTACAGCAGGGGAGTATCCCACTGTTAAGGCTTTTCAAAATTAGATTGAGTAGGAAATGCTTCATAAAAATCTAGGTGGAATACTATATTTGTACTTTATAAAAACAGCACTAATTAATATAAGAAAGGGATTAGATGTTGCCAATTTTACATCTAAACAACAGTTTCATCCTGATGGCTAAATACTAAACTAGCTTGGAACTGTTCAAATCAGCATGGTGGATGATATTATATTCACACCTCCCTTACCATCCTCCCTGCTTTATTTCAATTATTTCAGGTAATTTGTATTAAAATAAATGGGAGACTAGCTTACAGCAAAGAAACAGGCTTCACCATTTTTATTTCCAGTATCATTTTTCAGCTCCAAAAGTATTCTTAGAGAATAAAAATGATGAGTAGTTTCAGCCCAGCACTTTTGTTTTCTAAAGTATTCAACTTATTAAACCCCCCCCCCCAAAAAAAAAGATAAGCAGGGACAGCAAGTGGCAATGTATAGTTGGTAAATTGGTGTTTTATAGAATACCACATTCCTATTGTCAATCATATTATACTCTCAGCACTCTAAATGAACCTTACATCTGCTTTCAGCACTTTATATTTTCTCAAAATGTAGCTACCCAAGATAGCTAAACAACTGTCTAAGTAACCCTTTCCATAGTTCTTGCCATTTGTATTTAGAATAATTCTGAATTTCATAATTACCCCAAATTGTAATAATTTATTTTATGACTACATGCATTTCATGTGTGTAAAATTATTATAAATGAAAATTGTTTGAATTCCTCTAATAGATATTAGCTATGATTTATAGTGGTTAATTTTTATACCACTAAAAGAGGAATATAAGAATGATGAAGCATGATGAAGAATAGCAGAAGTGAACTCACTTTGCTCAATGTCTTTCCCTTAAGAGGCATCTTCTCCAGAAGCTTTCAACAAATGGGTTATTTATTTTTCTAACCCCACCTATTGCAGGCAGGAGATTCTGCTACCTCTGTGCCATACTGCACTGCAGTAAAAAGTAAGGCTTGAGGGTTGCAACCACTGTGTTTAGGATTCCAGCACCCTATAGAAAAGGCAGCCCACTCCTAAAAAAGGAAGGAAACTCCTCCATTTTTGTCCAAAGCTTTGCTGAACTGCAAGAAAAGTGGTCCAAGGCAAACTGCACAAAAGATTGTCAATCAGGATTCACAGAGTGATGTTTCACCTGCCAGGTGTCCCAAGCAGAAACCTGTAAGAAATAGATCACAGATTTAGATGAGAAGAGGAAAGGATACATACTGCAAACCATGCTTTCCAAAGCTTATTATCAAAGGCAAATCATTCAGGGCCATTTTAGCATTGTATGACTAATTTCATTACAGAGGCTTTTTAAACAGCTGATATCAAGGAGGCCTAGTTGATCAGGGCTGCTATTAAAAACAAAAGAAACAGTACTGCGGAATAATGTAAACCTTACCATTCTCCTCGTGTTATGACAGCTTCTTTACGTACAAGGCGCTTTTTGTCATCCAAAGGCTTGGCCAATGCGCGAATGACTCGTGGCTTGAATGGGATCACCTGACAAGAATTGGAAAGCACCACTATAATGAGGATTCAGCTACAGCCCCACTTATGAACTAATGAGGGAGATGAACTGGCAAATTACCAGCCACAAGTGCTTTCATCACTTACCACTGGGGTAGGTAAGGAGGCAAGTGCATGGAGGCATTGAAGTGCAGCAATACGGATTGCCTGCGGCACATAAAAGGCATGTAATTAACCTTCTAAGCTTCTTCCAGATAGAAAAGGAGAAAATAATCTGAGAAAGGAAATACTACTCTACTCACCATGGCAGAGTTGTCTGTTAGGTTAAGAAACTTGCACACAAGTGTGTCGATGTGGAGATGCATAGCACGAGGTGCATCAAGTAGCAATGGCTGTACGCAACGTAAAGTTGAAAGCTGCACCACATGGTCAGGACACGACAGAGATTCTAGCAACAGAGGCAGCAACTGTGGGAATGGGCAAATAAGAGAAGGAAAGGGTCACATTTCCTTTACTGTTACACACCTGGATTTAAGGAACCCTCAACAGGTAAAGACAACCTTGGCCATCGTTTCACACTCACTGTAGGCAGCTCTGTAACTAGCACTGGCTTGGGCAAGTGATTTAATATGTGAGAGAAGCCTTTCAGGTAATTTGGTTTCACATCTAGGAGGAAAAAGACAGTTTAGTTAAGATTTTCCCAGAAAAATATCATCGCAATATCCATTTGCAATGGATTCCAACAGCCACAGACCGAAGCCCGTAGTGAAAACACTTGTTGGCAGCAAAGAGAAAGCCACCCCATTCTTCTATTTCTCAATTCTTTCCCTAATCACGGAGCTGGCCAATTAAGGCTTCAAATTCTCCTGTCTGTCCCTCAAGCAATAATAGAAAGCCCAAACCTTGCAAGAAATAAATAAAGCAGGAAAGAGTTCCTTTTCTCCTATGGAGAGAGTATACTGACCAGGAAATGCTTTGAATAAAACATAACATTTCTTACCAGGAGTGGATGTGTGGAAACTTTGCACCAACTGTGGCACACAATCTGTGAAGAAGCGCTGGCGGAACATCAGGCGCACCTCCGCATGACAGCTCTTGCCCAATACATCAGCAGAATCAGCCATGAGCAAGGCAAAGCCATCACCCACTGCAGGGCCAAGAACAGTGTCCCCTAAAAGCTGGAGTAGCTGGAGAGCAAACAACAGCAGAACATATTTAAGGAAGAGGTCAAGCTATCTGGCCTTTATGACAGGTCCAGCCTTTCTCTGGAGCTCACCTTCTCAGTCAGCTGTGTGATTAATGGGTGGTAGCGTAGCAGCAATGCTTTACTCACCTGCAAGGACAAAAAGACACGATAAACTCTGACACTAACATGGAGGAAGGATGAGTGTGCATACAACATTATGCAAACTTACCCACAACAGCAGAGTAAGGGCCTGGCGTTGATAGGGACCTTCATTCAAGCCTCGTTCCAGCATTTTTATGGCCATTTCCAAGAGCTGATCTAAGTGTGGCCCTGAAAACAGTAGAAACAAGAGTGAGCAATTGTTAACACCTGTGTTACACTTTCTCACAGTTAAACTGAGTAATATGTAGCACAATCCAGTTTTAGGGTTTCAGTAGCATGAGAGTATTACCCTAATTCTATGGCATCCATTGTTCTATCTAGGTATTACCTTCTGGGTATTTGTTAATCAGTCCTGCAAAGCATTTTGCAGCAGCAGTGGCAGTGAATGGGCAGTCACAGGAACAGCTAAGAGCTAGTAGCTCACACAACAACCGATCCTGTTGAGGAATTACCACCTGCAAGGAAAGCAGACATTGCAGAAGGAAGGAAGGTAACAGCAAACTTTCCACCAGCACCCTGGCTTCTCGCCTTGGCACCACATAGCGCAGATCTACTCTCAAGTAAATTTCCAAATGTTCTTGATCTACAATATCCAGAATCCCCCATCACCAGCAATGTTGATTAGTAAGATGGAAGTTGATGTGTGGATGTTTGAAAGACCATAAATTATCCCATCCCATTCTCTAAAACCCTGCTGAAAATTCTCCCCAGGACTTACTGTTCTTGGCAGTGAACATACAAAGGCCATAAGGAGAGCAACCAGCCTTCTTGGGGCTGCTGCTGGATGGAGCCCATCCTGTAGGAAAGACATCATTTTTTACTAGGCAAGTGATCCAGAAATTTTTAGGCACACTTTTCCATACAAGAGCCACTCTGGTGTGGTGCTTAAGGTGCTACATCAGTGGTTCTCAACCTTTTTAATGCCGCGACCCCCAACCGGTCGTAAGTCGAGGACTAAACTGGTCGTAAGTCGAGGACTAAACCGATCATAAGTCGAGGACTACCCAACCGGTCGTAAGTCGAGGACTTTCCCTGCCCGGGAGNCCGGGAGCGCCGCGCATGCGTGGTTCCGCCCCCTGCGCCGGCCGAGGCGTAGCTGGCAAGCGGCAGAGACGGAGCAGGCCGACCACCAGCTGGCCCAGCCCAAGGGAGGTAAGGCACCCGCCGGAAAAGGGGAAAAAAAATGGCGGACAGCCTTGCTTGGCGACCCCCGTGAAATGGTCGATCGACCCCAAATGGGGTCGCGACCCATAGGTTGAGAACCACTGTGCTACATTAAAACATAGGAGATCATGAGTGCTAGCCCTCTCTCAGGCGCAGAAGCTGGCTGGGTGATCCTGAGACTGTCACTCACTATCAGCTCAACTCACGTCAAGGAATTGGTGATATGGGGGAAATAGAAAGAGGAAGCTTTATGTACACCATCTTGAATTGCATCAAATAAATGGTTAGCAGAGATTAGGCTCAAATACCTGAAAGGGCTGAAAAGAGCTGAGATAGTTGTTTCCAGTCAAGAAGGAAAGTTCTCCATCTAGGAAGAGAGGTACCACTTTTGACACACTCTGAGCAGCCAACCTGCCATGATATAACAATTGACACTATATCAACACACAGAAATGTCAGAGAGTAGTGAGAGAGATTACCAACACCTCTCCTAATCTTGGATCTACATCAAGCAGAAACCCAGTCTTATCCAAATGAAATACTAAATTGTACAGCATCAGTAACCACAGGAAGGGACATGTTACTCACTCTGGGCTTAAGTGCATGCAGGCTGCACTGATGACTAACACCATGGATGATAAAGCTTCTTCTGTTAGCAGAACTTTGTTGAGTGTTGTTTGAGAATTTTCTGAAAGTGGTAACAGAAATTGAGATGTTAATTCTTATTAGTTCTTTTCAGGGGTCCTTCCAATGTATTGCCTGTTAATGGCTGTTTCATAGAGAAGAAATTATAACATAAGAAGCAGCTCTGAACAGATGAAGAAGGAACAAAGGACAGCCCAACATATGAATTTAAATACACAGAACATATCTCTCTTCTTGTTCAGAACTCAGAAGTATGAAGACAAATGATAGCATTAGTCAATCGAGGACTGGAAAAAAACAATCCAACCTTAACTACAGGCACTGCTTTAGTTGAGAGGGTGTAAAACCTTGAGTATTTCTGCCATCCTACCTTCCAAAGCAGCCTGCACTGCTAAGCCTAGCAAGCAGGGCACCACCGCCTGATGGAAGTACCAATATGTCTGAACATTTTGCTGGCACTGAAGGGCGACCTGTTGCAAGCTGTGGCACACAGATACCACTGAATTATTACTTGCTGGCATTTTGCCTGCAAAAACAAGAGCAATTTTAAAACCCACAACTCATAGTATTAAAAAAATAGTACTTTTTGATAATTCATATATTTGAAAAATGATCAATACATTATCTGTGATTGATTATCACACTGTGGCATAATGATTAAAAATGCATCATTGGCAAAGCTGTTACACATGCAATCATTTTGGTCCTCTCCACTGCAAGTAATCAAACCAGAAAGTCTATAATTTCTATAAAATGAATCTACTCAAAACAATAAATTTTAAATCTGTACTGACTTCAAAACCAAACATTCAAAACATATTTGTTTTATTTCATACTTACAATGTTATACCACCATTTGGAGACTGGAATATTTCAAGGTCAAGCCTATAGTGCACATAGTCTTAAAAATGATTTCTCAGCTTAATAAATCAAGATGTGAGATTTAATAAATCAGATAGTAATTTCTTCAAAGACACTAAACCATGACAATAATAGTCTGCAACGAATATCCTGACAGCACATCTCCCTCGCTACATGATTTCATTTCTCCATTTCCCATAAAAAAAAGTTTCTATTGGTGTAAAAAGTTTGTTATCTCTTATTTTCCCAGGCTGCAGTTATACTTTGTTGATGAACAAAGAGTATGTTTGCATAGCTGCTGCCCTGCATTGTGGAAAAATTGGAATATTTTTTATTTTTTTTCTTATTTATTTAACAAATACCATACAGATCAAATAAATAATAATGAAATCATAGGAAGTTTAGAATTAGTCCAAACTTTAAAGTCCTGCTATATATATTTATAGAACAATGATTTACCGTCTGTAGCAGAAGACACTAAGAATTTTAGAGTTCAGTGCTCTTCCTGTGGAAAGAGTAAGCTATACAAGCACACACAGATTCTACTAAGTCTTTCCACCTTTTAGAACAGTGCTTCTCAACCTTGGCCACTTGAAGACGTCTGGACTTCAACTCCCAGAATTCCCCAGCCAGTAGGGCTGGCTGGGGAATTCTGGGAGTTGAAGTCCAGACGTCTTCAAGTGGCCAAGGTTGAGAAACACTGTTTTAGAACACCACTATTGCAGAAATCTGGGTCTTTCTAATACAATCTCAAACATCAGATAGAATTCCAGTACCGCCATTTAAAACGTTACCTTTCTGAATCTGCTGGAGATGTTGCAAAAAGACAGGAACAGTTTGCCTTACAATACTTGGATGGGTGGACACTGCTGCCAGAGCTTGTAGATGTTTCTGATGGGATGAAATATTATCCTGAAGTTCTGAAACGTATCAATCGTATAATTCGTCTGGTCACAATTCGACTTTCTCAGGATAGAACAGCAATCTTTTATGTGCAGGCTAAGTTTATTTACAATAAATCTATTTAGAAGGCATGCATGACTACCGAGAAGTTCAGAAAGGGAATTAGCATTTCTGTGCAACCACTAACAAAGGAATCCACTGGAAAGATTCTACCTGAGTCCAGTCCTTTTGAAAGCTTCTGAACCAAACACTTGCTGAAGATTTCTGGGTAGACAGGAGCAAGGGTGCCGGCAGCATCCATAGCTGCCAAACTAAGATATAGAAAAAGTAAGAATGAATGTCATAATAAAATACACAGGTCGTTCTGTGGGGATCAATTTTTTGAAATTGTAATACCATATATTCTATGTGTGAGGTTTTATAAATGTTATAAACACTCTGAACCACTGAGTGATACCAAATGCCTAGATTTTGCTAAATTCTATCCAGAAGTGTTAGACTAAAACCTGGTAGTAGAGGATAGGGATTTTTCACTAGACATATTATCAAATAATCTGACAGGCTTTGAACCATGGTTAGATGGTGGCTTGAGCAATTGGAAACTTAACTGAATTAACTGGTAGTCCTATGGAAAAATTAACAACACTACTGGCCAAGTTCCATAAAATATTAATCTGGAAATGCTAATTAGGTGAACGTAGGTCTGTGGTTAGACCTTTACTTTACTTTTTTTTTTAACTTTATTTTAGCATGATATGAGATCCAGGACTTCACACCGAGCTATAACATGGCTTATTTCTTTGGGCATTATCTTGTTATGTGAACCCAGCCTAGAGTATTCAGACAGAAATTAATATCAAAAGAATGGCTGTACAAATCCAAATATGAGGAATCAAATGGGATCACAACAGCAGTATTAGAAATGCCATTTTATGTTAATTAACTTGTGTAAAAATCTTAGATCAAGATATGGAAATCTGAAATTGAAGAATTTACAGTTAGGCACTGACTGTTGGAATTCTTTTTACTATTTGCAAGCAAATTACTAATAAAATATCCAATATCACAAAAAGGAAAAATGCTTTTTCAGAAATTCTCAATGGTTTGTTTGTCTGATCAGGAGAATTGTTCTAACCTGATCTGGGAATCCATTTCATTCAGGATGAACTGTGCAAAGTGATCTGCAAGCTTTTCCACATCTGCAAGATCTAGAAGCTCTAAAACAGGGGGGGGAAATCGCTATATTATATTCTGTTTCTTGTGAAGTAGAAGTAATCGCAACATATACAAAGTCCACTAAAATGATCAATTTGCTGGAAGCTCAGCTGTTAACGCTAGGAAATATGCTAATCAGAAAACCAGACACATGTATACTCACTAGCATCTAAAAATGCACTTGAGAGAAAAAAAGAATATGATCTTTCCTCTACCTCCAAGGAATGCCATTTCAAACCAAAGAATAACCCATACTGTCATGGTTCCGACAGATGAAACTCTTCAAAGAACTTCGAGGCATTGTTTACCTTAAAGAATCTTTATTTGAGAAGCATAGCATCGGCACTAACACAATCGAAGCCAAAAACTGGATTCCCCTCCCTTGAGCACATAGTATCAAAGCAAAATTCCCTCCTCCAATTAACAGTCATAAATCACATTCTCCAATTAGTTTGAAATGCAGGCTTTCCCTCCAGCTCTCCAGCCCGGCCAATTCTTATCATCTCTTATTTCAATAACCTTGGCTCACACACTAGGTTCAGTATTATTATGTCTAGCTAAACTCTCATGCACATTCCTCCCCCCAGCATCATCTAACTCTAAGAGTAAAACATAAGAAGAAAATAGTTGCATCTCCATCTGTTGTCAAAGCAAAAACATCCGATGTTAGCAGCGTTGACACGTACCTTGACGAGATCCTAGAAATGTCAGAATCTGGATCCCAACCAATTGAAGTTGAATATTGGGCTCAGCTAAGGCAGAGAATACTATAGAACACAGAGAGTCTTTGCAAGAAAGCAGTGGACTTTTGTCTGCAAAGGAGGCAGAAAGAGAGAGTTACATGTAATGAAACCATCTTGAGTATATCAGATACTCAAAACTAGAAGCAACAAGGTTTTTGCTAGCATTGTTACAATAGTGATAACCTTCTGTTTCGAACCAGTGGTCTGTGAGGGTTGCAGAAAAATTATAATTTTAAAGAAGTGAAAACCATCTAAAGCAGTGTTTCTAAACCTTGACAATTTTAAGGCATGTGGACTTCAACTCCCAGAATTCCACAGCCAGCAATGCTGGCTGTGGAATTCTGGGAGTTGAAGTCCACATGCCTTAAAATTGTCAAGGTTGAGAAACACTGATCTAAAGCTCTAGGTGATACAACACTACCACCTTACCTACAAATTACTGGAAGAATAAAAAAATGAGCTCCAGAAAGGAGGAGGCATCTTGAGAAAGATAACAGAATTTGAAACTTATGCAGACTCAAGAACATCTGAGACACATTTATAAACTAATGAACTATAATATGGTGACATAACAAATTTAAAACCATTACAAAGGCTAAAAATGCCCCTATGCCTCTCCTCTTTCCCTCTCACGACTACTGCGCAGTCCCAACAGATGAAAATCATTTGTCTCTGCAGAACATACCTCTGGGTAACACGGAAGCACAATAATATAAAGAAGCCATTAAGAACAGTCTTGTTAGCAGAATACTTAAGTAAAAGAAAATTCTGTCCCAGAAGGTAACTAAGCAGCAAACTCACCTTCCTCCTCAGCACCCCACATTTGCCGTAACTCCAAGAAACCAAACAACACCTCCAAGACTGTCCTGTGCTGACTACTCTACAAGAAATCAAGAGGACACAGGATGGATTGGAGAAACTTCCCTAGACAGAGGAAAAGACAGCATATGCAGACTTTTGCTCTAAATTGGAGTCCAACCGAACTATAAGCCTAGGCCAGGGGTAGGCAACCTTGGCTCTTTTATGACTTGTGGACTTCAACTCCCAGAATTCCTGAGCCACCTGGCTCAGGAATTCTGGGAGTTGAAGTCCACGAGTCATAAAAGAGCCAAGGTTGCCTACCCCTGGCCTAGGGCATGACAGAACTGCCACAAAATATATTTGAGTCTGGAATTACAGGACCTTTTAACCCTGCTCGTCAAATACAATGTTTTCTGCCCCAATTTCTTCTCACCTGTTCATGCTTGGCATACTGTTCCAACAGCAAAGGAAGTACACTACTTGTGATCTGATAATAAGCCCGCAAAGAAGCTCCTGCAACTGCCTGCAAGAGCTTAGCGCTCGGCCACACCAGTTTCATGTCAGGCTCACACAGATGGTGTCTGCAATCTAAAATAAACAAGGTTGCTTAGGAGTAATCGCATGCCTTACGAAGCAGCACCAATATTTTATTTATTCCACTAGGCCGGGTGACGATCGCCAACAGCATTAAAGTTCAGTAAATTTGTTCTCTGCCTCTTGTTTCCTGATGCCGTCTCCTTTTTCTTGAATGCTGAGAGCCAAATCATGACTGTAACATTAAAATGAACTATTTTCTCTTCCAGATGTTTACTTCTTTCAACAGCACGTTAAGGAGGATAAACAGAATGCCCATCACAGGACTGAAAAACCGATATAAGAGCTCTTTGGGGCTTACCTTGCAGAACTCCCCTAAGGAAGGAATCCAGAAGATCCTCCTCATCAGTTCCAAGCACCAAACGGGACAGACACGCTGACAGAGCTCGCAAAGCAGACAAGCATTCTGCTTCTATCTTCTCACTTGCTGTCTGGAAGACCTATAAAAAGGTGAGTCAGATATTCTTGTCTGGTATTACAGCAAGTCTTTAAAAAGCAAGCTTAAATCTATTCCTCCCATTTTTCTCTACAACGTCTTTAAATGTTATACCACTTGCAACTATTCACTGTAAAACTACCAGAGTCTCGGGTGCAGTACATCTTCAGAAAGGCAGAGTAGGAACAGTTCAGAATGCACTGCTCCCTGGAAGCTCAATCTATGTCCCTCCCCTCCCCAAAATAAACTATTTCCTCTTACTTCTGTGCGCAAAGATGACCAAAGGCTAGGGAGGAATTCTTTCAGTTCTTTATGCCCATAGATCTTGCATGCAGCAATCTGTAAGGGGATCCACATAGAAATAATTAGCCGTGTGTCTTAATTGCCAAAGAAGAAGGAACCCCACTGCCAATACATTTTACCATTTGGGCATAAAGTAAAACTAATTCACATGGCTCGGGCAAATTTAATTATCACTGTTGAGTGCTCTCACCAGCGTCTGCAAGGAATCCAGCTTGGCACTTTGTACATCTGAGTCTATTTTCTCAATGAGCAACGGAAGTAGGAACTGTAGGAGGAAAAAGTAATAAAAAAAACACATTTTGGAGAAAAAAGTATTAAAAAGCATTTCCAGAAGTTGGGCTTGAAGGTGAATGAACTAGGAACAATTTCCCTGGCTATTAACAAATCAGAAATCTTTCCCAAATATCAGTGTTGATGGATTTATTTTCAGTCTTTTATGATGATCTGAATGATATGGGTATTATAGATTGGTCCCAAGGCCGAGGGTCTTTTTCTGTGTGCAAAGTAGCATGTAAACACTGAGAAACCTCTTGCCTAATTCGGGCACCTGTTACCAATGTATGACAGAGCAGATCTGTTAGACAATGGTGGGGACTGATGGATGTTGTTGGTGCTGTATTTATATTGAGTGGTTCCAAGCATATAGAAGTTGGAGCAACAATCTGTAGTGAAACCCCAGCAGGAATGAACAGGTTCAAAAAGATCTGCAGAACAAATTAACTGGTGAAAAAGGCTGCTGTATTAGGAAAGAAACCACTTGACTAATGTGCTGGAATTCCAAAACGCTCAGAAGAGAGTTATTTTGCCTCTTTCTCCCCTTCTCTTTAAGTTAAAAGCAAACCCAACGAACAAAAAGCACTAGAGTGAGCGTATCAAAATTGTAATAAGGAATACCTGTACGAATCAGGGACAGAAAGAGGACAGTTACAATTTACTTGAAAACCACTGTAACAATAAGTTTCACTGTAATTTAAGTGAAAAACAGTGTCATGAAAATTCATGTCCCTTTTCCCGCCATCCAACACTCCCAATTGCTGAACACAACTGTTATACCTCAGCAAAAACGGGAGTAGAGGTCAGCACTGCCCGCAGACTGAAAATCAGGTCTTCTCTCTGGATTCCATGAGGATCATTGGAGGGCTAGAACAAACAAGATTGAAAACATTATGGAAGTCACCCACCCTGGGTATGCTGAATAAATATCTTCATAAAAATATCCTTCATAACAGATATTGTTATGTTTCAGCACCCATATTTCAATTTGAGAACTAGTTATAACAGACTTGTCATCTGAACAATTCACTCACAGGAGTAAAGTCAATAGGGAAGTAGCAGGAAGTCACTTCAAATAGCTCTTCTGAAAAAGGCCCTGAAAATTATAAACATAACAATATGACATCTGTTATACACAGTCACAATTTCATATTAAGCCATTGCAAATTATAGAAGCTCAAATTCTAGACATGATCTATATTTGAAGTTTACCTGGTAACATAGCTTGATCACCCACAACTCAGAAGATTTGTCTTAGAGATTGACACAAGACAATCTACAACTCTGATTCAACAGTTTTTACTTTAAGTGTGGTTTAGCTCTTTGCTATGTTCAATATCTCTCATTACAAAAATACATTCTCATAACTAATAGAACTAGGGATCTCTAAAATCTTCCAATCTGGATATAGCTCTTGTCAGATAATTCCAGAACATTCTGTTTCCATTTGAACTAGGACATTCCAGAGGGTTGACTGACAGTTTTCACAAACAAATCATCCAAACTGGAAGTTGCCTGAGATATTTTGAGGGGTAAACTGGTTGAAATACCCTCGTTTCATTTGGAACACCTCAAACGGCTTCTGGTTTGAAGAACATGCTTCTGAAACCAATGAACAGACCCCCAGGTTCGCCTCCAATGGGATGAGCTGGAAAGAAACTCAATATTATGGAGTTCTCCAATCGGTTCATTCCCACATTAATAAATTTTGCACATGTTATAGTGGTAACACAAGCTTTTCTTTGGATGATTAACTTCACTTTGAGCTGAATTTACCTATTGCATAGCCTTTTACAATGATGTCTCGAACAATCTGGAAAGCTATTAACAGGTTGCGTGGATCTTTCTCTCCATCCATCACTTGGATGAAGCCCAAGGTGAAATCAGCACCTAAACCTTTTAGCTCTGTAGGGAAAAAAAAGTGGAAAATAAGATTCCAGGGTTTTCAAGTTGGACGTGTAACTCAATTACTTCCAAAAATAGTTTCTCACCTGCCTCTCTGTTGCTCATGAAATTAGTGATGATACTATAGACAGTATGACGATTTAACTGTAACAAAGACTAAAATAAAAGATAAGAATAGCAGGGCTATGAAAGTAATTATTACTTATTACATTCACGTAGTCTTAAAATCATATTTTATTAGACTCATTTGTTATTTCCATTTCTTCTAGAGTAAGTTTATTTGTACTTTATCTACTGCTACAGAGGACAATTCAGTTTAATTAAATGCAAGTCAAAGCTTATGCCTACAATCTGTATTAGTACCAAGATGGTCAGAACTTTTCTTCATTCCATTTCTTTCTCTCGTTTTTAGTCCCAGTTGCTGCCTTTTGTGAACCCCAACATATTTTAACTCCAATTTAAGTGCAATGCACATAAGAAACTTCCATCCACACATTACAGATAGTTCTCAAATTGCAACTATTCATTTAGTGACCGTTCAAAGTTACGATGTCACTGAAAAAAGTGACTTATGAACATTTTTCACACATGCAGCATCCTATGTTGCACCTAATTAAAATTTGGATGTCTGGCAACTGGTTGCAGTGGATATTTACAATGGCTGCAGTGTCCCAGGGTCATGTGACAAGCAGAGTCAATAGGGAAGTCAGATACAGTTAACAACCATGTTACTAATTTAACAATCACTTAACAATTGTGGCAAGAAAGGTCATAAAATGGGGCAAAATTCACTTAGCAACAGAAATTTTGGGCTCAATTGTGGCCATGCCTGTATATACAACAGTAAGACCTATAATACTAACATTTTTAGATTTGATCTCAAAGCTCAGTTACCCAGCCTCACTTTGTCCCTGCTTTAATTATGCTATCACATAAGGACACCATTCAAGAAATAGAATGTAAGAAAGAACATGCCAGAAGCAATTAAGCAAGTTTATAGAGACAACTGATTTGAACTGACATTTAATGTAATATCTAATAAGTCATATCTGCATTATACAGTATATGTCTCAGTCATTGAACAGACGATGGAGACCATTCTTTCTTTAATAATATTTCAGGGGATCCGAACATAATTTCAATTTGCGAAGTATAGCATTATAAAGATTCTTTAGCAAAACGTGACATATTTAGTCTCTGACACCAAAACAAAGGAAAGGCCCTAACTACTTATTAATACGAGTCACTGCAAGCAGAGCAGGCCTAAGATGCTAGTACTCAGTATAACCCGTGCAATTATAATGATTGCTGGAAGGAATGTTGAATCACATATACAGAATGTAAAGGACTTCCATGCTCACCTGAACGTGAACTTCCTGGAAGACAGCTTTGAGAACAGACACTGCCAGTCCTGGAGCTAACACTACACATTTGCTCTAAAAAGAAGGAAAATTATGATAAATGTCCATCTTCATTAAGAGATAGCTATCTGCAATAGCTTCCAGGAAAAGAATCAGAACCTCAGCAAAGTAGATTTAATTTAAATCATAGTTAAGTCATTAATCTCTGTAAGGAAGTTTTGCTACTTATTTTTTATAGAAAAGGTGTACATATTCTTACTAATAATTTTACAAATATAAGAAACTAATATAAACTAAGAAAAATAGGAAAAAGTTCAGAGAAAAAGAAAATACAGAAAAAAAGATACAGAAACACGACTTTCCCCTTCATCAAGACAAATACATAGTATCAGTAACGTATCACTTTAATACTTTAGCAAAAAAAAATCTCTTTCCATATCTCATCTCTTATCTATAAAGTTTTTAAAGCTTTGTGATACAATCCTAGCCAGCAAAAATCCATCAAGAGTTACCAGAATTAACTATCACACACACACACACACACACCTTGATCAAATAAAGCAACTTTGTATTCTTTTTTTAAAAATCTTGAGCTTTAACTCCTTTAAAGTCTTGCCATTTTTTCTTTCTCTTCTCAGAAACTCCTTCATAAGTTTAAAACATATCTTTTGTAAATCCAAGAAAAGAAAGTCATCCAAGTTACTCTTCTGATTATTTGTATGACCTTTTTAGTTATAAAGTCATTAACTGGTTTCATTTGTAAATCCAGTGTAACATCTTTTTCCATATCATTTTTATAGCTTGGCACTCTTAAAATCCACATTCAAATCAGCTTCAGTCTCTATTTTGTCCAGTAAAATATGTTCCTCTAACCCAGTGGTGGCGAACCTATGGCACGAGTGCCAGAGGGGGCACTCGGAGCCCTCTCTGTGGGCACGCACACCGTCGCCCAGCCCCGCCTGCCCCCGCAGCCCACTCCTCACCAGCAGTCCCCCCCGGAGAATCACCCCCGGGTGCGGCCCACAAGGACCAGTGCAGCCAAGCACATGGCAGCTGGGCAGCACATGATGCTGCGGGGCACGGGCAAAGGATGTCGCCACCATGGCGCTGCAGGGCCACCTGGGCGATCTGCGGCAAGCCGTGGATGGCCCTGAGTGCAGGCGGGGTGAGGGCGGGTGGGTGGAGCGGGGCAGTTTTTGGGCACTCGGTCTCTAAAAGGTTCGCCATCACTGCTCTAATGTCTTTTATATCTGTTTTTATAATAACAGATAATTTTAAGAGTAATTTCAGAGTATTGTTCCCAAATATCCTTGAATTCTTGCAAAGTCAAAGATTGATTTGCTACATTTATATTGGTGGATTTCTTCTCTTTTAATTATAATCTTTAGTTCTTTCTGGTCCCCTCTTATGTTTTCTTTCTAATCCACAACATTTTCCCATGGAAAGGTTCCCTACACTTACTTTCAAAATCATATTAAAATTATATTGCTTGTGATATTTTTGAGATACTATGTTTTGTTGAAAAGAAATGTAAGAACATTTTGAACACCAATTAATTTCTTATTAAGATTTTTCTGGGCTTCAAATCATATGTATTTAAGACATAAATCTATTATTGAAGATTTGTTTACAAACTGTAAAATTTCACCATAGATTGCCATAGAAACAGACAAAATCAATCATTACATTGAGAGAAATGAATAAGCACTGCACAAAGGACCTTATTTGTACTAAGAATATTCCCTAAAATTGTGCCCTAGTCAGTTAATTAGTTACTCTCAAAGCAATTTCTGTTGGCCTAAGTTAAATCGGCCAGAACTGCCACTGTCTTAGAACATCTCAGTTAATCCCCTTTAGTTGCTAAAGTCATGTAGCCATCTCCATTTTGCAACCTGAAACCTCGCTGGTCCTAGTTTTCGATGGTGCGATTGTCAAAATTGATGGTGTGTTTTTCTGCCGTTTTCAATACACCAAACTGCAGAATAAGTCCTAATAAAGATTTTTGTTAAAAAAAGAAGCCCAATCTCTAGGGAAAAAAAAATCTCAGTTCTGTCCACATATAAGGCAACATCCCAACCATTTTATATCATCATCCCACCCGCTTTCCTTGATCCCCTCTAGCATTTTAAGTGTGGCTCTCAGCCACCAAAAGATTGCCACTGTCGTTTAGATCCTGGAAATTTCACAAAATGAACTATATATCACTGATAGTAAATTCTCACCAAAGCGTTCAGTCCCTGCAGCACAGAAGGAATAACAAGGTGATTATCTTTTAGACGGTTCTCATAGAACAAGACAAGGTGGGTCACTGGAATAAAAAACATTGATATTACTATAATTAACAATAAAAAACATTATTAATCACTGTGCTATATTAGTAAGCAAGTTTTCAAATCACACATTGGGAATTAAATGTAACAAACTGACATCTTGGTCAGGCTTGGAACCACAGGACAAAAATGGGCAATAAAGAAGTGTCACAGATTGCTTGATCATGTGAGGCTTGTCTTCCCTTGGGTAGTCCCATTTTCATTACAACATTTGGTGATGATAAATACAGAATTCCTATAACAAAGAAAAATCCCAGAAGGCAAAGTGCACATAACCGACCACTTATCATGCTCCTCAGTGCAGAATCACAGTTCCAGTAATTTGTTCTTAGCATAGCAAACACTGGAAGGAACGTTCTCTTGAGAATAGCAGTAAGCCACATTAAGAAGTGAAGGCCCTGAGAAAATAGTCAGTGATGAGCACTATCAAGGATGACATGAGTTTATGGACGGAATTATATGTTTGCAAATAGAATCTGAAATGTCAAAATTCATAATGGATTCTCAATACAGGAACAGCCAAACACTTCATTCAATCCCTCTTTTTGTGTCACTACAGTTCACTTCCCCGTTAAACTTACACATTATTCACCTCACTCATTTAATAGGAGCATATAGTACTTTAGATTTCCAGGCAAAAAAATGTGCCAAAGTAGGCAAGTGCATGAACTATTATAGCAATATAATTTTTTCAGGGATTGTGCAGCTGCCTATCGTAGTATCACACAATAGTGCTCTGCTCCCACTTCCAAAGTATCTTTTTGCCTTCAGATCCAAAAAGTTGCATAGTCTACTCTTCAGCTGAACACATGAGATATTGTTTAATATTAAGATGCTTCTCATCTTCTCCAAATAAATATAATTATTTGTCACATATGGACTAGTTAATAGTAGTACAGTGGTGTAAATGCCTTCAGGCACTCAAAACTGCCACAAAGGTAAGATAAACTAAAAAGTAAATCATACTGCAGTTTAAGTATTTGTAAAGCTAAAATTAAAACATTCTAAATTTTATACACAGAGAGAGTGTCTAGTAGTCCTCAACTTATGCCCATTTGCTCAGTGACTATTTAAAATTACGATAGTGTTAAAAATTGGACTTGCAACCCATTACCAAAGTTATAGCCACTGCAGTGCCTCCATGGCCAGGTGATCACAATACGGCCATGTGGCAGCCAGCCTGCACTTATGATCACAGGGATGTTTTAACTCCCTCACCTGCCTATCTCTACTATCCCTTTTTTTTTGGCTCCCTGTGCTCTGCGGCCCCTGCTGCTCTTTACTATTTCCTTATGCCTGCTGCTGACCAAACAGGCTGGGCCTGGACCTTTGCAAGGCAGCAGCTGGCCAGAGAATTCATGCAGTCTTGTCCAAATTGTATGTGGCCTTCTTTTTAGGCTTTGAAACCTTCCAAATCCTTGTGAGAAGGACACGTGCTATTTGGACAAGTCTGTGCATTATTTGGAGAATGGCATGAGGGGCCTTGCAAAGATGGTCTGGTGTGGCAAGCACCCGTGCAAGTCCAGGATGAAGAAGACATGGAAAGTCAGCGGGCGTGGCAGAATGCAGGACAATGAGGGTGGCTAGGCTGAGGTTCCCTGTTGACGACTATCTGTATCAGAAAATATAAAATAGTCTAGTTTTGCCCCACAAGGCTATGCATGTCAAAGGCTACCAAGTCATTGAATTACAGTTGCCTATACATATGCTCCTGATCACTGAATAACACTGAATAAAAACTGAGAGCAGTTCTGTGCCTGGTGAGGAAATCTAGCTCACTGTGAGAATTATACGTCCCACCTTCCTGCTCTTGGAGGAGGGAATAACACTGTAGGAGGACCTCAGAGAGAACTTGAATGCCCTGTGACCGCACTTGAGGATCTTCATTCTTCAGAGGAGTTCTGCATTAGAAAGAAACAACAGAGAATCATACATACAAGTAAAGAGAAAAATATTGTATTACCAGGAAGGAGCTGGAGTGAGATTTCTCTTACCAGATCAATCACAATTTAAATTATATTGCATCAGAAATTGCCCTGATAAATTATCGTTAACATATACATATGTTTTTCTGAACCCCCACTGCCATTCTTTCTTTATTCTTTTCAGGCAAGAAATGCTCTTTGAGATTCGTCCGTATTACATTCTTTGACTAATTCAAAGTATTTCTGGAGCCCATGCAAAAGTAGGGGAGGGTAGTGGCTCAGCGGTTAAAGACGCTGGGCTTCTCAGTTGGGAAGCCAGCAGCCCAGGTTCGAGACCCGAGTGCCACTTGACGGGGTGAGCTCCCATCCTTGCCCCAGCTCCTGCCAACCTAGCAGTTTGAAAGCATGCAAATGCAAGTAGATAAATAGGTACCCCTTCGGTGGGAAGGTAACAGCACTCTGTGACATCATGCTGGCCACATGACCCTGGAAATGTCTTCAGACAGTGCTGGCTCAATGCCTTGAAATGGATATGAGCACTGCCCCTATACTCGGCAATGACTACTGGAATAAAATCCACAGGGACTCCTTTTCCTTTATGCAAAAATGGTCACCTAACTAAGTTGCCAATTCCTTCCCTTTTATCTGGCTGTTGACAAATATTATGTTGGCTTAGTAGCCAGCTACTATTTTTTAGTACTAAAGTGCACTAGAATAACTGAGCCTGTAGACTGGAAAGTTGGAACTCTCAAACTCTTCCTACCAGAAGCCCTTTGAGCTTTCACATCCTGATTCCACTTTCTGCTATGAGGTAACAGCTTGGTAAATTCCCACTGATACACCCATCTTTTGGGGGCATCTCAGCTGGTGTCATCCCCTTATACTTAATTAGAACAAGACTCTCAAAACTGGTATTGCTTTTCTATTGAAAATAGCTTCAATAACAATCCCTCCCAGCAATGTAGCATAGAAGTGTATGAATAGCAAAGTCAGGTCTTTCTTTTCTCAAACTGTTTAAAAAAAGAAGAAATATATAAAATTGCATTTTTACATTACACCTTAAAATGCATACATTCAATGTTGTAGAAAAGGATTTACACAATTGTCTTGTTCAAGCTCAATAACTGAACTGAAAATCTACAAGACAATACAAAAGAAAACTTTCAGAGAGATCACAAGATGGTGCTGATCTGCTACAAAATAGGAATTTCTTGGCAGAATCTCAAGAAGAAATGCTGTGGGGAGTTCAATTTATTACAGCTCATAATATTATACATACAAATATCTTCACGCTCAGCTTGAAGGCTGAAATTATGCAGAATTCACAACTTACACAGAAAAATAATAATTTTAAAAAAACACAATTAGTTGTGACTTAACACTACACAGAATAAAAATAAAGAAAGAACCTAAAGAAAATGCTGGCTCAGATGTGTATCCATTAAAAAAAAACAACCAAAATAACCATTTTTAAAAAGCATATATTTCCTGCTTCCTTTTATGTGAAAATTCTAACTTTAACCTTGAGCTCTGAGGGAATAATACTACAGTAATCCTTTCTCTCTTTAACTTTGGCCCAGAATCAACTATCACAATTCCCTTCTCCTGTTTTGTCTCAGATTTAAAGAACTCACATTTTCTGCTCCCAGATTAGAGAGATTTCTGTGTGACAAAAATGTATGACTTCTCATGGAAATGTGGATTCTAAGTCTGCACTGTATGAGTGTATTTGAAACATCTGAGATGTCCTAACTGGCAAAGAAAATATGATGTAAATCTAATCCTACTATTATACTCTCAGAAGGACTCAAAAATATTTCTATCCAGGGAAACTTATAAGGCAGAAGAGATTAAGACTTGTAACCAAACACAAATAGCTGTGTTAAACAAGAGTTTAAAATATTCTGTATATAGCCAGAATCCAGCCCAACCTCAACCTCAGAGCTTTAGAAGTTTCAGAATTCTATATCTTCCTTCCCTTTGAGAAATCACATTAATTAGCATGATCATGTTCTGTGCCATTACATTGTTTTCCTTACATTCACTCTCTACATTTTATTTTTGCTAAGTTTGGACAAGAACAGTCATTTTATGCATATTTATTATACAAGTTATCCTATGAAGTTAGAGAATAATTATTTTAGGTACCTGGAGCAGAACAGAAGACAAGTTTTCAGACTGATATCAATGAGCTACAGTTTGTATAATTTCCAAAAATTTCCATGTGCCTCATAATAGCAAACAGCATGTTTGTATGAAATAGTATGATAGTATGAAAAAGAAGTAAAGGATATGCTACTACATAGACCTCATTTCAGAAATGAAGAAACATCTACTGTATATGATCCTGTCTTTTCCAAATGATGCAGAAAGGAGAAAACCATTTTTATTAATGAAAAGGACAGGGTATCACATAAAGCAGAGTTCTCCAACCTTTTCAGCTTTGCAGACTGGGGGTATGAGAAGATGGGATGGCACACATGCCCGCTGCTCATGCAGATAGAGCATTTGTGTGCTTGCCTGCATGAGTGGGGAATGTGCACACACACTCACCTCCCACTTCCACAGCCTGGTTCAAAAAGGTTCAAGGCCCAGTACAGTAGATGTTTCTTCATTTCTGAAATGAGGTGTATGTAGTAGCATATCCTTTACTTCTTTTTCATACTATCATACTATTTCATACAAACATGCTGTTTGCTATTATGAGGCACATGGAAACTTTTGGAAATTATACAAACTGTAGCTCCAGGTACCTGATTCAAACACACCTGCTACTGATCAATATTCACTACTGCATTCAATCAGACTAATTTCTTAAAAATTTAGTAAATTTTTGATATTATGTTGCTCCGTTGCTCCAATAGTACCCAGACATGCTGGACACCCGAGTATATACTATGTAGAACAAAGATTGTTGCAGTGATCTACTTACCCCAAGATTTCCACTACATCTAAAATGGAGCATGTTCCAGTCTTCACTCCTAAGAGAAAAAGAATTGAAATTGTTAATTTCTAGTTCAATTTTTACACAGGGAAAAAAATGGGAATATATGTACTTTAAAGCCCAGTGTATCCTGTCACACTGTGTGCTTGTTCAATTAACAATTAAGATACCATTATCTCTCATGAAGCCTAGAATGTCTTACTGGCCCAATTTTCATGACATGCGTAACTGAGACATGCAAAAAGACAGGCAGGTTTTACTATCTCTCTCCTGTATAAATATCCCACTTAATTAACCAAGAAGGGCTTAGATTTTGCACCCAACTAACTCAATCTTGCTTTGAGTTAACCTAAATTGTCTTATATCTGCAAGCTACCTACTAGGGAATCAATGATTTGCTGATGTTGTATGTTATTGACATTCAAATATGAGTCAGGAGACAAAAAAAGGGTCATTCAGGTTGTGGGAATATAACCTTATACAATCACAAATTGAGGAACATTTACAGTATGCTAAGCAGGTAGGTTTTTCTAACAGAGGCACCTTTCTATGCTTTTAGCTTGTTTTCTGTACTGGGCATAAAGAACAGGCCAAGAGTCTCATATCTCTGTACTAGGCCTCTCGCCTTCTCCTTACAATTCCTGATCATCTAGGATTACACTAGTGCTTAACACAAGACTAATTCTTATTTTTTTGCCATAATGCATTGCCTCAGGTAAAAGCAATCAGTATAATGTATTTTATATCATTTGACACTAGAAAGCATCCAGGAATATCTCCAATATGCTTTCAAGACACCAATATTAACTATAGTATATTGCTAAACATACTGCCAGTTCAGCAGCACAAAACAAAACTTTCTTTGCAGAAATCATTTGACACGAACAGGAACCAAATGGATAAGTGATGTGCTGGTATATAGTACTGTATATATTCCCACCTATCTTTAAAGTGACCAGATTGTAAGAATAAGCTATGTGGGTTGGCATTTTCAGCCTACATGTACTATCTGAGAAATCATACATACTGTTTGAGAATCATGCACACCTGTTAGGACTGTAACAAACCAATTAGGTACTTATACTGCCTCTTTAAAAACCTATTAAACAAGGGTTATAGATGATAGTGAACAGAAACATCAGCAACTCTTACAGTGGACAAAGTTCACTAAATTTCTTCAGCTTTTCATCTAGAATTACTCTCTTTGGGAAAGTAGCTTTAAATCATTCAAATATCCTCTCATAGGCCCAGGTTATCAGGAAAAAGTATTATAAAAAGTATATATTTATAAAACTGAATATTTTAAGGCAAGCATTGCCTAACACTTTTCTTAAATATGACATTTTCATGACAATATATTTTGTTACATATGTAGAAAAAAGGCATCTGAAGACTGAAGAAAAATATTTTCCAGTTAGCCAAGTTCAAAACATTCCCCTCTAATAAATATCCTTAACTCTTTCATTCCCAGAAGATCATACATCCAAATGTATTATTATGCTTCTACAATATTAGTAACAATAGAAGAGGCTTGGCTTTCATCTCCTCATGAAATACAGAGTTAAGTCATAGCACCAGTACTTTAGAATTAGACTTGAAAATTCACTATGAAGCCTATTTTGTAATGGTTGTGCAGGTTTTCATCTCAGGCAAATGGAAGATTGAAACTTACACCTGCAGTATAACTATTTTTACATTCAATATATATTTATTATTCTTGTGCCATGCACTTATTTACAGTATATTCGAGTCATTGATTATATGCTGGAATCCCATACAGAAGCGGATAAAATGCATTTACTATAGATGGGGGAAAGCCACTCTATGAACCCTAGATTTATTCTTAAGGGTACCATTGAATTATACTACTGAGCATAATTTCCGAAGAAGACTCTTTACCCACCCACCTAACTTCGGCACTTCTCCTTTCCTCTTGATCTAACCCAGATCATCCTGCGTTCCTCTCCATTTTATTCACTATTTATTTCAAAGCGCCGGGTAGTCCTTCTTGCCCTACAAACCTCGTTTTCTGCATGCACTGCCGAAAGACGCGTGCTCATTTCCATGCCATTTCTGTTCACATTCATTCCCTGACCATACCTTCCGCCGTCTGCCTGGCCGCGTTTTCCCATTCCCAGTCCTGTAACAGGGAGGCAGGTTTTCCTATGCCAACGTGAGCCCCTCCGGCCGCCATGATAACCTGAGAAAAAAAGGGGGAGGCAAGAAGCTCCAACAGCGCGTGCGCGTCTCCCTATCACGTGTACCGAGGTAAACTTGTACCACGTTAAAAGAACCGTCTCCAGCGATTGGGAAAAATAGCGGCGCGAGTCTCTAGGCGGGTCTGTTGGCCAAGGTTGTGCCAACCAAGCCGAAGGGCAGAGAAGGGCGGAGTAAACTTATCCTCTTGCTTAAAGAGCATGCAAATAATGTGCAAACCATAGACATTTTATTTCCTACGATACTGATTTTGGAACAAGATGGGAAGTTGTGTAGAAAAATCAGAAGTCATTTCAGAATACCCAGACGATCTGAATCTCTATTGGCTGTACAGGGCTACGAAGTAGTGACTCTTATGTTTTTTATGTTGAATCGCTCAAAATGTCAGGCAAGCCCATGTTTTAATCAAAACTGGGAAACAAACAAAATTGTTTTTGATAGTCCCCCAAAACTTGGCTCACTAATCAGCTCAAACAGCATTTGCCTATTGTTGAAGAATTTGCTAGGTAAGAGAAAGAAGGCACTGCCTTTATTTCACTAACATTTCCTTTGAATTGTGCTTGATTCCTGGTGGTTTCCTGAATATATTCATGCATTTGTCTTGGGTGCAATACCGAAGAGTGGTTCTGATAAGTCTTCTACCAGAATATTTTTAAAAATTTACTTCTCAGTTTATTGCTTATATTGAACTTATGCATAAAAATGTTTTGTTTTGGACACATAAAACAATGAGCAAAAATTCTTTCTGAAATTCAGAAGACACAATGCAAATTGGTAGAAGCATTGTTGAATTAGATGGACCTAGGCTTCCATGGGCAGAGTTGCTGGTCAGTGTAAACATAGGAAAAGAACCAACTAAAGATTTAAACATCTCATAAATCATTTTTCTTTTTTAAAAATGATTTGAAAGATGAAAGAACTGTGGCATCAATTAAATCACTGTTTCCTAACTTTCACAACTAAGATGTGCTGACTTCAACTTTTAGGATTCCCCAGTCAATGGGAAGTCCACATATTTACAAAGTTGTAAAGGTTGGGAAACAGTTACCAAAGGAAACTCCATGCACAAAAGGAACAGGTACCAAGGAGGCAGTTGGAGCACTTTCAGTGTGACATATGGCTTTTAATGTGAATTACGTATTTATACATTATTAACTAAACCATAAGTGAACTCGCACAGTGATGTGATTTTCTTAGCAATTGTATGGGAGTGGTTTGCTATTGTTTTCTCAGGTCATTGACCTACCAACCTGGAATTCTCCGGTAATCTCCTAGCCAAACACTAACCAGATTTGGTTTGGCTTAGCTTCCCACTTCAAACAAATCAGCCAGCTGCTGCCCCCTGCTGAGAATTGTTTATTCAAAGCAATATTATTGATTTGTATGACACATTGAGTGACCCTGTAGGCCAGTGGCTCTCAACCTTTTTAATGCCGCGACCCCAACCGGTCGTAAGTCGAGGACTAAACCGGTCGTAAGTCGAGGACTAAACCGGTCGTAAGTCGAGGACTTTCCCTGCCCGGGAGCGCCGCGCATGCATGGTTCCACCCCCTGCGCCGGCCAAGGCGTAGCTGGCAAGCGGCAGAGACGGAGCAGGCCGACCACCAGCTGGCCCAGCCCAAGGGAGGTAAGGCACCCGCCGGAAAAGGGGGAAAAAATGGCGGACAAAAAAATGGCGGACAGCCTTGCTTGGCGACCCCCGTGAAATGGTCGATTGACCCCAAATGGGGTCCCAACCCACAGGTTGAGAACCACTGCTGTAGGCTGACTATATGTAACATTATTGTATAGGCTAAAATGAGGCTTGTGATTCGGTGGGTCTTGCAGCTTCGGGAAATCACGTTTTCACTGAGTATTTTGGCATTTCGGAGGGAAATGCCTATTTCATCTTAACTCGTCTGTGTTCTCGTTCGTGGGGAAAAAAAGTCCTCTAGGGGGACCAGGAAGCGGGCTGTCGATACTAGCCACCCTGCTTTGGAACTAAGCCTCCGTTGCCTTGCTTTCTCCGCAGCCCCGTTTTGTCCGTTCCCTCGCCGCTGGAATTGAGGCCAGGATCACGGACTATCCGCTTCCTGGCGGAGAGGGGGCGGGGCGGGCGGGGCGGGGCTTGAGCTCTTGCCGCCGAGTCACATGCTCACCTGGAGAAGGAGGAGCCCAGAAGTGTCTCCCAGGCCCGCGGGACTCATCCCGGCTCAGAGCTGTAGGTCTCTGTGGGGTGGTGGTTGTGCTACTGTAACGACCGATCCCTGGGCCTGCCTGGTGTGGATCTCGCTTTCAGCAGTACGGAGCCTGCTTGCGGGCTTCCTTTTTTTGTAAGGAAAACCCGAGGCTCTGAAGTGCGGAGGAGAAAGCCCCAACCCGCGTCTCGCAAAGTTTGCGCGTCCGGAGGGCGAACTGGGATCTTGCCTCATGCGGAGCGAGAGAGCCCTGAGCCGGGCTCAGGCACGTAGGTCCCTTGAAGTTACACCCTGGGACTTCGGCCATGGGCAGCTGCGTGGGAAGACAACGCAGAGAGGGGCCGATCGCCCCAGGAAACCCGCGCAAGCGGGCAGGTGAGCTCCCCAACTAAACCAGGCGACCACGGGAAGGGTAGATCGCGCTGCAAATACTGAGAGCCGGTCTCCATACAGCGCGTATCCTTAAGGCCTAAAAGGGGAACCACAATCCTTGCTCTACAGTGGGCACTGAGCGCGACCAGTCCCAAGCCTGAGAAAGGGTGTTTCCGCGCTCCTTTCCTGCCCAGGTGTGTGGCTCTGATGAGCGTGCGGGGAAGCAGGCATACCTGTCTATGCCGACCCTCTTGTTGGAAATAGAGAAGTTATCCTCCCGGGTTGTAGAGTTCTGTAGATTCTACAGAAATGTATCTGTGTGTGGGTGTAGCTTTTGGAGCAATCCCAGTTTTAACAGGTCCCTTGAATGCCTTGTCTAGGAATTGGGATGATCTGGAAACTTGCCTACTCACTTTATGTAAGAGCCAGTCCCGCCCGTGCCCGTCTCACCAGACGGGTTGAAGTGGAAACTGCTGTGCCTCCTCTTCTCACTAATATAGACATGCTAGCTGGGTTAAGGACTGCTTTGGGGCTAGCAGGGTTTCAGCACACACGCTCGATTAAAATGTACTCAGAGAGAGAAATCGGAATCATTTGTGGTTTCACCCTGCCAGAAACATAGATTTGGCTTTGCTTTCTGATTTTTATGCGCCCCAGAATATGGGAACCCTCAAAATACATCCCAGAGAACTATAGTATTCGCTACACTAAAGGAGTATGGCCTTCACCATGTTCAAAGTTCCTGTGTAAATCTTTTGCGAGATGGAACGTAGAATCTCTGCTGCTTGAATGCATGCATGTGATCTTTTGTGTTATAAAGCCATGTACATAAGACCTGCCCTGATTCTTTAGCCCATGTCCGTCAATAGCATTATTATTCCCTTTCTAGACTGCTAAGATCTGTCTCACTCTGCTGAAGTTGCATTAGTTGGATCAATAGCACAAACAGTTCTAACCTAAGAATCTCATCAGCAGTATTTGACACTCCAAATACTGTGGTATATAAATAGTGATAAAGGATTTTTGAGGATGGAGCAGTCCTGACTTCAGCAAAAGAGAAGCCTCAGTAATTAAATAGTCAGAGGAGGACAGAAAGTTTAGTTTTTGTGTTTCACTGTTCAAGATTCAATTTTGTTTTTAAAGTTGCAGATAATCTCCCCATATCCTTTTAAACAGCAGATAAAAAAGAGGGAGAATGACCAATGAACCCCTGCTATTTTCTACTTCAAGGAACTCTATTGTGAGAAGGATTATTTGTGGGTTTCAGACCAGGAGATTTACAGCTGCTATTCTGCTTTCATTAAACAGCTTGTCCTAAGATGCCCCTCCAAGATAGAGTAAGACCTCAGACTTTGCTGAAATTTGTGGGGAGACTGATACCATTGGTCTCACACACACTACTGCACTCTGATTCCTACTATTTTTTTTAACAAGACTTATTTACTTGTAAAAGAAAAGAACCAGTCTGTGGAGGGCTAAGGCTGGTTTGTAGCTACTTGGAACAGAGTGAAAAGAATAATGTTACAGACTGTCACAAACATATCTGGAGTTATGCTAGCAGGGAGTATGAAAAATGATGAAATGAAAGAGATTGTGGATAAGAAAAATAAATATAAGAGAATGATTGTTTAAAAAACGAGAATGTAAAAATATTGTATAATTGTATAGAGGGGGAAAAAAGATAATTGCAAAGGATGTAGTCAAAGAGAACAGGAAACAGTCATCCTTAAAAGAGACAGAGAAAATGCAGAGCAGTTTTGATGGAGAAAGGAGATGGACAAACAGCCTCAAGCAGAGTGAATAGAACTAAAAATAGATATGATATTGTGATTTGGAATGAAACTAAAGTGACCAAAAGCTTAGAGGAGTATGAAAGATTGTGATATGTTAAACAGTAGAATTAAAACAAATCCTATAAACAGTAGTATAAAAAAAAGGAAAAAATCATGTTGGCACATTAAAAATAAATCTGTAAGTGTAGATAGTGTAACAGGAGAAATACTAATTTATAAATGTGGTTTAAATATTGAGTGGTTACGTGACTTGTGTAAATCGTATGTGAAAACTGCATCTCTGCTGGACAATTAGAAGAATGTGTTGTTCCCATATAAAAAGGGAAAGATAGCATGAGTAAATGCAAAAACTACGGTTTTGTGGGGAAATGTTTAGCAGAATTCTGATTGAAAGGGTATGACTGGGAGCAAAAATCTAGGCTTGCTTTATGCGAGACAAGAGCTATGTAGACCAAACTACATTGCATGTTTGTTGAATTGGAGGGAAAAAATGATAAAGTTAATAGGTATGAATTATGAACTTGGGTGAATAGGAAGTTGGATTGCTGAAAATGATAGGAATGGTATATGATGGAAGTAAAGATATGTGATAATAAATGGAATGTGTAGTGTTCAACATTGAGCAAGAAATATTAC